TGTCATTTTCATCATTTTTTAGAAATTTGTTAGTTTAATAAATTAAACTAAAAATTCTTGAATTGGACTTAATAATTATGGATGGCTTCCAGGTTCGATATTTGAGGCCCAGTAGCACCAAGCTATACTTAATTATTATGTGTGCCAATTTCAACATTTTTAGAATTTTGTTAGCTTAATAAATTAAATAATTAATATTGAACTGAATAATTATGTATGGGTTCCAGGCTCGATATTTGAGGCTCGGTCGCACCATGTTATCGTTAATTATTATGCGTGTGAATTTCAGTTACTGATGGAATTTTGTTAGTTTAAAGAATTAAATTAAAAATTATTGAATTGGACTGAATAATTATGTATGGATTCCAGGCTCGATATTTGTCGCCCGGTAACTACAGAGACTCTACGCTAAAAGGCTCTATATTTTACTAAGCTAAAAGCCTCTATATTTTACTACGCTAAAAGGCTCTATATTTTACTACACTAAAAGGCTCTATATTTTACTACGCTAAAAGACTCTTTATTTTACTACGCTAAAAGATCACTATTACATATAAAAACAACAAACATAACATACAAATATGAACAACAAACTAAATAAATAATATTTATTATTATTTAACCAAATAAAAACATAACATTAACAATACAAATTATTTATCAAATTTTAACAATTTTTTGTCTCAAAGCTAATAAATCAATTCGGGTATAAATAAGATACAAATTTAAACACAAACATAACACAAATTAACATGGAAACATATTCAACAATACAAATATGCATGTACTATACGAGTTTCGACATAAACAAAATCAAAATACCTCGATTTAAGTTTTTTGAATTTGATTAAGATCGAATTTTTGCACCCGAATGAACGAATCCAAAGCTTCTCTTGTGTGCGGGACCTATACTCTTTGCTTTCTGGGTGATGGGTGGGGCCCAAAAATTTTTTTTAAAAACTTTGACGGTGGATGGGGGGACCAGAACACTGCTCGTTTTTTTAATGGGGGAGGGGACTCTGTCGTTGTCTTGGGGAAGAAGAAGGGGCTTTATTTTATTAAAGCAATTCGCAGTACTATACTGCAAATTAGTTAAACGCAGTATAGTACTGCGAATTGCTTTAATAAAATAAAGCTGGGGCCCAAAATCAGAGTGAAACACAGTACAGTACTGCGTTTAAGTACTTCGTAGTATTGTACTGCGAATTCCTTAATTTTTTTTAATAATACGCAGTACTATAATGCGAATTACTTTAACGGCTAAATTTCCGTTAAAGTAATTCGCAGTATAGTACTGCGGTTTAGGTAGTTATGTAATTTTTTTTTAGTAGTAGAAACGTGCTTTTTGTCCAAAAAAGCATTAGAAAAATTTCGGACTTTTTTAAAACCACTAGTTATAACCTCCCATCTCTAATATGATTTAATATATTATTATCATTAAATTTATTAAACCAAATAAAGGCCATGTGGGCCACAACTTACATTCCCCACTTGGGCTACGTTTTAAAAGGTTTAATAAATAATCATTATGTGCACTATTAATATTAAATCTAACATCATTAGTCGTTATTAAGCAATAAACTAATATAAGTGATGGCGGTTATACATCATTTTATTCGACATAATCCATTTCATGTACTATGATATTAGTCTATCACCTAATACAATATTTAAATTACGTAATTGGTCCAACAACTATGATTAGAATATCTTTATCTAAGCCAGATCCTGTTATTGTTATTCTCAACGTAATGTATACAAAAGAAAATAGGAAATAACAGAAACATACACGTAAATGATCTCAAAGTGTCAATTGCATAAACATAATAAAGTCTTTATGTAAATTCATACATTGCTATCAATAATAGCCATTCTTTCAACATGTTCTATAAATGTTTTGGGTGGTAATCCTTTCATCAAAGAATCGGCAATCATAAGTTTAGTGCTAATATGTTCATTTGACACTTTATGTTTCTGGACTTCTTCTTTGACAACAAAGTATTTCACTTCCATATGCTTAACACCCTTCGAATACTTGTCGTTCTTAGAGAAGAAGACTGTTGCGGAATTATCACAATAAATTTTTAACGGCCTGGCAATATTGTCGACTAGTCCAAGTCCTGAAATAAAGTTCCGTAGCCAATTAGCCTAAACTGTAGCCTCAAAGTATGCCACAAATTCAGTTTCCATAGTGGATGCAACTATAACAGACTGCTTCGCACTCTTCCATGATATTGCTCATACGGCTAACAGGAACAAATAACCAAATATAGATTTTCTTGTATCCATACAGCCAACATAATTTGAATCTGAATATCCAATCACGTCAAGATGATCAGATCTTTTATAAATGAACATATAATCTTTCGTTTCTTGCAAGTATCGTAACACTTTCTTTGCAGCTTCCAGCGGTTCATCCCTAGATTATTTTAATATGCTAATGTCTGGTCTAGTACATGTCTGGGCATATATTAAGCTCGCAACTATAGATGCATAACGAATATCTTTCATTTGCATACATTAATATTCTTTGCAACCATCGATATACAATTATTAAAAACATTAGTCAGCTTCTTCTTCCTCCTCATTCCTCAACAAAAGCTCACAATTAACTTTGTTCTTGGAGGAAATTCATCAAGTTATTACTGGAATTTCATTGTTTGGCTTTGTAATTCTACCACAAACTCATGCAGCAACATAGTGAGGGTTTAAATGACAGAGATTACTCTATCAAAGCTAATCTTTTCTGATACCCACAAATCCTATTTTTCCTAACAGTCTTAAGGAATCTGATGGAGTAAAGTACTGCATGCATGTGTCTTAAGAGAATTGTTTTTCAGGTGACTAATGGAAAGAAAGTTCGGAGTGGAATTAAGATCGTTAGTCTCCTGTGGAGAGATGTGAGGAAATTATTTCAGATTCTGATTTCCAACCGTACGCCTGATCTTATATGGGCTAGTCATGACGAAGGAATACATAAGTCTTTCAACCTTGAAGAAATTAGACAAGTGCTTGAAATGATCAATGGGTTCCAAAACGGCATGATGACTTGATCACTTTGGCTTATTGGAAATTAAGAAGTTGTTACACTTTCTGCAAACAATGCCAAATTAAATTTGACAGAAGGATGCGAAGAAAGAATAAGGCATATTTATTGAGAAATAGAAAAGGGATGATGAAATTTCCCCAAATATCCACTGATAGTGACTTTGAGGTTTGAATCACTGGTTGTGTAAGTTATTCCGGTGACTTGATAAGAGCATTGCATGCAGTGACTCTCGCAAACATAAGGACGGGTCGAATATGAGCATGTAAAAAACAGGTTATTATGAAAAATAGATAAAATATTCGATCCGTTCATATTTAATACAGATAAAAATTGAGTTAACCGATGGACAATATGAATCTATGACGATCATTTTTTACTTCTTGTCCAAATGCATACTACAGTACACCATTTATACAAAGGAGGAGATATATTTACTCTATTTTTTAGGTGTTTCTTTTAAAAGAAAAGGTAATCTCTGCCAAAAGTTGGATCACTCTTTGCTTTGTATTATATATAGTTGCTTTAATAATGATTTTTAAATTAAATTCATGATCAACATTTAGTTAGTACATCTGATAATTAGTTTTCTATTTTGTATTAATATCCACATATTTCTTCAATGTTAATGATGTATTTAATAGTTTATTTACATAATTGACATCAATCTTATGGTCAAAGCTAAAAAGAGTACCACTTTTTGCGCCCTTCAGATTTTTTGCTCAACACTTGAAATATGGATTATCCTCTATGGAGTATACAGGTGTCCAAAAACTAGTAATATATATAAGAACTTATATTGTTTCGTAACGTTTTTCTTTGAAATTTAGATGCAGAGCAGCTTTAATATATATTACTAGAATGTACGATCCCAATAATGTACGCGATATTTTCTTATTTTAACTTTTTTTCTTAATCAAACAATTATGAGAAAGAAGGACAAAAAAGACTAGCTTAAGGAAAAAAATAGAAAAAAAGATCCATCATAAAAAGTACACCCAGCTAATAGCTAGACTTTAGCTTATGATAAAAATAAGAAAAAAAAAAAAGAGAAAAGAAAAACAAGGAAGAAATATAAGCTTGCCTTTTGATTTTAATGGTTACATTTTTTATGTACAGTTTTCTCTTCTTTCTAGATGCTGAATTTTTTTCCCTTTTTTTGTCTGTTATAAATGAAAATAACTTCATAACAGACACATTGAAAAACTTAGCAAATTACGTGTGGGACCCGAGGATAAGGGCACATTAGGAAAGAACTGGGTAAATGGATGACTAATAAATAGTAGTTGGCTAGGTAAAATTAGGTATGCTATGTTGTTGATAGAGTTTTCTATTTCTCGTCTCATATTTTCCGCACTCATTCCCTTCTACTAAGTTACTATTCTTCCATCCTTCTGTATTTTGGTTATTAATTAAAAAATCAATCTTCTTCTATTATTGCGAGTGTTTATATTTGAAGGTTGTTACATTGTCTCTATTTTATTGAACATTATTTGTTTAATCTTGGAAAGGTTAAACTTCAACACTGACAGGGATAAGACTAGATAATTGATAGATGAGTGTGAAGTGTCACATAACATTTCTGTTGTTTTATGCGTATAGGCAAACATTATACCTACCTAAATAATTTTAGCTGTTTACTAGCTAGCTCAAGCTACAACAATAATAACAATCTAGTAAAATCCCACAGGTGAGGGGTATGGGGAAGGTAGTGAGTACGTAGACCTTACCCCTATCCCGATAGAGTAGAGAGACTGTTTCTGATAGACAATCCTTGGTTCAAGAAGACGAAAAAGACGAAAAAAGACAATATATTAATACCATCAACAGAATGACTCAAGCTCTTGGATAAAAATTATTTCCAATCCAAGAATGAATTGTACAAAAAAAATTAAAATAATGTTCCTAAACATATATTAAGCTTCACAAGACAAAACCAATATAATATTGTACATTATAATCCTTTTCGTCCTATCAAGCAAAAACAACCCTGAAACTGATTTTCTGTAGCTAATTCAGATATGTCAATTGCTTCCAACATCATAACCACCTCATGCATCTCTGGTCTCCTTTTAGGGTTTGCATCCCAACATTTCTTCATTATATCAGCCAAAACACTTGGACAAGATTTTGGTATTTCAGGCCTTCGACTTTTGTAAACATCAGGAGAAGTTTTAGAAAGGGGAATTTGTTCAGGATATGGCATTGAACAACTGTATATTTCCCACAAACAAATTCCAAAACTATAAACATCACATTTATGATCATATGGCAAACAAGCAAGAACTTCAGGAGCCATATATCCCATAGTCCCATTTTGGCCTGTCATATCAATAGGACAAGAAGCCTCTACTCTAGAAACTCCAAAGTCTATTATTTTCACTCTTCCTTCATTGTCAAGAAGTAAATTCTCAGTCTTCACATCTCTATGAACAATTTTTTGTGAGTGAAGATAACTCAACCCTTTTGCAACATCTAATGCTAGTTTAATTACAGTATGTAACGGTAACTTCTTGATGTGGTTTTTAATGAGGTAGGATTTGAGTGTGCCTCTAGGAACAAATTCTACCACAATACAATATCCATCTTTCGTAGGACGAGGACGACATTGGCTATTTTCAGATTTGAGTTTAATTTCGGGTACGTTGTTTTTCGAAGCTCCGATTAACTTAGCAATATTTGGGTGACTTAGGTTGTACCATATAGAAACTTCTTGTGTAAAAGCCTTTGTTACTATAGCTCTTCTATCTTCATCTCTCAAATCAAGTATTTTAACTGCGACTTCTTTTCCATTGTAAACTCCTTTGTAAACTGATCCATATGCCCCTTGACCAATAAGATTCTTTACCTTAATTTTTTGGCAGTCCAATTCCCATTCTTCTTTCTTGATTACTTGGACTTTTGGTTCTTCACTTTCACAGCACTTATGATTGTTAAACACTCGATCTAAATGTCTTTCAAGCTGCTCGTCCATTCTTCTCAAATCAATCTCTGCTCTAATTCTTGTTTTTGCCATCTTTGAACACAAAGTGGTATAACCAAATAATTGTTTGGTTGTAAGAACAGAAAGAAGAAAACCTTTCTAGAGTTTTTATGTTATTCGGAGTTATGTTGGAATACTCCTATTTATAATAAGCTTGCAATACCCCTATTTATAATAATATGAAAGTTATTTTGATTAGAAATAGAAAATCCTAATTAAACATGAATTAAATAACTTACAGAAACAAAACCCTAAACCGTTATGGTTTCTTACTACAACTTTGAATTATAGTTTATAATATGGAATTAGAACAAAACCTAATTTAACAACACGGACAAGAAGGTTGTTGGAATTTAAACTCATAACACTATGTTTACTTATGATCTTTTTATCATTAAACTATTTCCTAATTGGAAACTAGCGGTAGTAATTATTAGTAGGATCCAAGTTGATAGAGACACCCCAATTCGACCATGGAAATATCCGCCAATAATATTATTGACTAGATTGCCAGCAAAATTTTGAACAAAGTGTAGGGCATATGCCCACGTTGTCCAGCCAAAGGCCCAATGGCCTAATCCTATTCTCTTTTGGTTTCCATTTCTATTCGAAATTGGATTCGGTGTTTATTCCTATTTTGAGTGAGTTTTGGCTTTAAGAGAAAGCACCACTCATGATCTATAAATAGGACAACCTTGGAGAATTATTCTATGCTCATTAATACAAGTCTTTGAAAGACTTAAGCACATAAGAGTGATTTTTGAGAGAGCTTTCATCAAGAGAGAAGAGAGAAGAAAAGTATTTGTTTTGCTGCAGATTTTTATTCCGACCAGCCAACTTCAAATCACGTTTTTCGATTCGTTAACCGTTGGATCGGGCTGAAATTTTGACTGAGTGTTTATAACATCTTGGTCTTAGATTTGAACGGTGAAGATCGGATTTGGAGGCTCGTAGTATCTGATTTCGAGCCTCAAACAGCAGCTTTATTTTTGTGGATTATACTCTTTCTTCAATTGATTAGCTGTTGCTCTTGTTGCTATTGTTGCTCCGTGTTTGGCCCTTGTTGTGCAGCCAATTTGGAGAAATTTTGTAACTCTCTTATTGTTATAGTGGAGCTTTTTGGATCTTTGTGATCCCGTGGTTTTTACCTTCGATTTGAAGGGTTTTCCACGTTAAAATTTGGTGTTCTTTATCTTCTTTATTTTCGGGTTTGCCTCTTCCTCAACATAACAGTGGTATCAGAGCCTTGGTTATTTATCCGGTTTGTTACGAAATGGAGGCGAATATGAGCAAGATGGTATGTTTAAATGTGAGAAATTATTATGTTTGGAGAAGCAAGATGAAAGACTTGTTGTTCGTGAAGAAGATGCATCTACCCGTTTTTTCAGCTCATAAACCCGAGAGTATATCCGATGAAGATTGGGATTCGAGCACCAACAAGTATGTGGAAATATAAGGCAATGGGTTGAAGATAACGTTCGCAACCATATTGTGAACGAGATACATGCGAGATCATTGTGGGAAAAGCTAGAGACTCTTTATGCTTCAAAAACCGGGAACAACAAATTATTTCTGCTAAAGCAATTGATGACCTTTAACTACAAGGAATGCAGCCCTATCCTTGATCACATAAATGATTTTCAAGGCGTCTTTGATCAGCTATCTGGAATGGGGGTTAATTTTGATGATGAGATACAATGACTTTGGCTTCTTAATACTCTGCCAGACTCTTGGGAAACTCTTCGTGTTTCTTTGACAAATTCAGCTCTTGGAGGTAAGGTGACCATGGAATATGGCAAGAGTGACGTGTTGAACGAGGAAGTAAGGAGAAAATCCCACGGTTCGTCCTCACAAGCAGATATCTTGGTTACAGAAGACCGGGGGAGAGATAGAACAAGAGGCTCAAGGAATAGAGGTAAAAGTAGAAGTAAGTCAAGGTCCAAATACTATAACATTACATGCAACCACTGTGGAAAGAAAGGACACATCAAAAGGTTTTGCCACAAGTTGAATCAAGACACTAGAGAAGGAAAGAAAGTTGAAAATAACGAGAACAATGTTGCTGTTATTGTTCGAGATGACCTTCATTTTGCTTATGATGAAAACGTCATCAATTTGGTATCCCATGAGACTAGCTGGATAGTAGATTCTGGAGCTACCTCACATGTCACACCAAGAAAAGATTTTTGCTCATCTTATACTGCTGTTGATTCTGGAGTGTTAACGATGGGCAATGCCAGTAAAGTTAAGGTGTTTGGTGTTGGCACAGTTTGTTTGAAAACTAATAATGGTTCAACGTTAGTTCTTCAAGATGTCAAGGATGCTCCAGACTTTCCTTTCAATTTGATCTCCGCAGGAAGATTAGACGATGAAGGTTACCATAATGCCCTCTTTAATAGCCAATGGAAGCTCACTAAGGGCTCGTTAGTAGTAGCTCGCGGAGTCAAGTCTGGTTATTTATATATGACACAAGGCTCTATTCTTAATGACTCAATAAATATAGTGGAAGGTGATACTTTATCAGAATTGTGGCACAGAAGATTGAGTCATATGAGCGATAGGGGGATTACGTATTTGGCTAAGAAAAGTTTGCTTTCTGGATTGAAACAAGCAAAGCTGAAAAGGTGTATCCATTGTTTAGCTGGCAAACAGAAAAGGGTTTCCTTTCATAGTCATCCTCCCTCAAGAAAGCCCGATTTATTGGAGCTAGTACACTCTGATTTGTGTAGTCCTTTTAAATTAAAGTCAAAAGGTGGTGTGCACTTTACTTTGTGACCTTCATTGATGATCATTCTCGTAAGCTCTGGGTGTATCCTTTGAAATCTAAAGATCAAGCACTTGGCGTGTTTAAGGAATTTCAGGCCTTAGCTGAGAGACAGACGGGGAAGAAATTAAAATGTATTCGCACTGACAATGGTGGTGAATATTGTGGTCCCTTTGATAACTATTGCAAGGAACAAGGAATTCGTCATCAGAAAACTCCGCCCAAGACGCCTCAATTGAACGGTTTGGCAGAGAGGATGAATAGAACTCTAGTTGAGAGAGTTAGATGCTTACTTTCAGAGGCTAAACTTCCAAATACATTTTGGGCGGAAGCACTTAACACTATTGCCTATGTTATCAATTTGTCTCCTACTGTTGCTTTGGATGGTGATGTCCCAGACAGAGTTTGATTTGTCAAAGATGTTTCTTATGATCACCTGAGAGTTTTTGGGTGTAAAGCTTGTGTGCATATTCCTAAAGATGAGAGATCGAAACTGGATGTCAAAACTAAGCAGTGCATCTTTATCGGTTATGGTCAAGATGAGTTTGGGTATCGTTTTTATGATCCAATTGATAATAAACTTATTAGAAGTCGTGATGCAATATTCTTTGAAGACCAAACTATTGAAGATATTGACAAAGCTGAGAAGATAGATTTTCAGAGTAATGAGAGCTTAGTTGATATTGATCCAGTTTCAATTGCTAAGGCACCTATTGCACATGAAGGAACCCAAGACAATGATGGAGATAGTGATCAAGATCAAAATGATCATCATGGTATAGATGTTATGGATGCTCCAGTTAATGAAGTTGTGGTTGATCAACAACCAATTCCTGCATAGGTAACTACTTCGAATGCTCCTGAAACCTCTCTTAGAAGATCTACAAGAAAGAAGCAAAAATACATGCGCTATCCTCCTGATGAGTATGTACTCTTGACTGACATGGGAGAACCCGAGAATTATGATGAAGCCATGCAAGATAATCACAAAGATCATTGGATCGAAGCGATGGAAGATGAGATGAAGTCACTCCATGAGAATGGCACATATGAGTTAGTGAAATTGCCAAAAGGTAAGAGAGCTTTATCTAACAAATGGATATTCAGAATAAAGCAAGATAACCATACCTCTGCGCCTAGATACAAGGCGAGGTTAGTTGTTAAAGGTTTTGGCCAGAAGAAGGGAGTTGACTTTGATGAAATTTTCTCCCCTGTTGNAAATTATCTAATTTTTTATGAAGTGTGGCAGCAGAGTTGAAATGAGCCTACTTCTTTTCATGTTGCGAGCACTGAGAAGATGTGACTCCCTTCCCTCGATAACTTTGTATATGGTTGGTTAATGCTCCTGAAACCTCTCTTAGAAGATCTACAAGGGAGAAGCAAAAATCCATGCTCCTCCCGATGAGTATGTACTTTTGACTGACATGGGAGAACCTGAGAATTATGATGAAGCCATTCAGGATAATCACAAAGATCATTGGATCGAAGCGATGGAAGATGAGATGAAGTCACTCCATGAGAATGGCACATATGAGTTAGCGAAATTACCGAAAGGTAAGAGAGCTTTATCTAACAAATGGATATTCAGAATAAAGCAAGATAACCATACCTCTGCGCCTAGATACAAGGCGAGGTTAGTTGTTAAAGGTTTTGGCCAGAAGAAGGGAGTTGACTTTGATGAAATTTTCTCCC